CACCTAATATTTAGAGTACCCAAAACGGGCTCATCATTTTGACAACCACCTATCTGAATATCCATTACTGATCGATTTGAAACTCCAACCCTACACCCTGTAAATCCTAACCTTATATATTCCGCTTATGAGCCCAGATTATCCGTAGAAGCCAATAGGGAATTACTCAAACCCGAAACCCACAACCCTTAACCCTGAAATCCAACATTTCTGGAGGAATGGGTCTGTTCCGAGCTTCTGCGCACCAAGCGCTTCAAATCGCGGAGGGCCAAGGAGCAAGTTTGCGGTTAAGGGGTTTAGGTTTTGCGTGCGGGGTTTAGGTTTTGGGGTTTGGGGTTCGGGGCTTGGGGTTTAGGGTTTGGGGGTTGTGGGTTTGAGGCTAATAGCGTTTGGGGCTTGGTTGAGTATTTTCAGTGCATACCACGTGCTTTTAATTGGATCCCTTTAGAGGGGTCAAAGGGATGTATAGGCTTTAGGGAAACCCTGAACCCTAAACCTGTAGGGTTCATGAAGCTGATTATCTGATTGCAAATAGGCTTATGGGCCTACTTACCAGTACCAGCGTGGTAACCGACCTAACTCCAGTTAGGGGGTCATAGATATGTTGCCCTAGGGCTCCAGTTACCCACGCGATCGGGTCTAGGTTCTATATACCCTATAGTTACATGGGTTGTTCTCAAAATTATGGGCCCCTTTTGGTTATAGCACATATTACGGCACCTAATATTTAGGGGTATCAAAATGGGACCCTAATTTCGGGAACTACCCATAAACCCTATAGTTACATAGCTTAATAGTAACCTGCTACTTAAGTAACTGGGAACCCTAGGGTTAATAAATCAGTTATACTTCAACTCGAGCCAGTCAACCCAAACAGCAAACATCCTTCAACCCATGCCTGTGACTCCAATTTCCGGTTTCGGGTTTAGGGTTTAGGGTTGCAATGTAGTACCTGCCCCCTACTTAGCATAACCTGTAACCACTGTAGGTAATGATAGGGGGTACAGGTAAACCTTAAACCCTCACCCTAAACCCTAAATCCTAAACCCTAAACCCTAAACAGAGGTAAACCTGAAACCGCAGGGTTGCGTCCCTCCCACCCCTACATACCTGGAGTATCCTTCTTTTGGGTTTAGGGTTTAGGGTTTAGGTACCTGGAGTATCCTTCTTTGGGGTTCAGGTTTCAAGGGCTTAGGGTTTGGGGTCATTAGCTTCTTGAGAAAAACGCAAAAGATACTAACGTTTTACGTGCATATGCATTCTTACGGATACATGGGTGGCTCTAGAGACTCTTGCCATTTTTGTTCGACCCTAACCCCTGAATCTGAAATTCCCATTCGGAAGCCCTAGCCATCAAATCCTAAACCTCTTGCTGGCTGTAAGTAGGTACTGGAGGGCCGGGTCCCTATAGAAGCTACAACCCCCAATAATGTAAGTAGTAGTGTTCAAGTTCTTACCGGTCTCAACCCTAAACCTTAAACTTAAACCCTGAATAGTTTCCAATTTCTTTTCCGTTCCTCCCAAGATCTTCCTGCATCATAATCCATATAGCGTATCCATTCTTTCCCCCTGAACCCTAAAACCTCTAAACCCTATACCCTAAGCCCTAAACCCTAAGCCCTAAACAATAAACCCTAAACAATAAACCCTAAGCCCAAACCCTACACCCTAAACCCTAATCTAAACCCTAAACCCTAAACCTCAAACCCTACACTAACCCCTAACCCCTAAACCCCAAACCCTACACCAGTAAGCTGTGAAGGAAGCCGCGCAGATGCTTCCCCAGCCTGGCGGACCGAGCTAAACGACAGATGCTGGACCGGGTTTAGGGTTTAAGGGTAAGGTTCAGGGCTTCGGGTTTAGGGTTCAAGGTTTAGGGTTTAAGGGTTCAGGGTTGAAGGTTTAGGGGTTTAGGGTTTAGCTTTCAGCATTTTAAATACAAGCATTCCCTAGTAGAGCAACATGGTCGAGGTACAGAGCAATACCCACCCGCCCATAGAATCTCTTAACATCAAGGAGATAAAGAGTTTGTTTTGTCGGCTCCAGCAGCATCATCTCTACGCAGCTTGGAAAACAACATGTTCACATACTCTGTCATTGTTCTGGTATACAGGCATCTGGAGGGCCGTGACGCCCAAAACCCTGGAGGATACACGCTGTCACACCCAAAACCCTCAAGCACACCGTGCTGCAGCTTGTACAATCAGATCACATTGTGATGCCCGAAACCCTGGAAGCATTATTCCGCGATAGCCAAAACCTAGGAGGATCACACCGTGATGGCCAAACCCCCTTGTTGGATCCATGCAGCTTGTGTGATCTCTTGACATGTCTCGAGCCCCTACAAACCCCTGATGCCGAGAGGTTCCCTGAAGCCTTGAACGGCTCGGGGCCTGCAGAGGCTTCTCGGGAGCCTGCCAGGGCCCTCAGGGGCCTCTCAGGGCCTGGAAGGCCAGAATTCGCCTTATACACAAGTCAGATTCGCCTTGTACATAAGTCCGAGTGACCCTGCACACAAGTCAGATTCGCCTTATACACAAATGGATTGACCTTATACACAAGTAAGTTTTACCTTAAACTCAGTATTGTGTATAAGGCACATCTGCTCGCGTATAAGGCAAACCCACTTCTGCTGACTTTAAAACATGATTTAGGGTAAGGTTTACCTTATACACAAGTGGATTCGCCTTATACACAAGTCTTCAAACACAAGCCACATTGACCTTATACACAAATAAGATTTACCTTATACACAATTGATTCTTCTTAAAGTCAAATTGACCTTATACACAAGTGAAATTGCCTTAGACGCAAGTAGACTCGCCTTATACACAAGTCAGATTTGCCTTAAGCACAAATGCCATTAACGTTTATGTACCTATTTATGTAAACGGTAAGAGGGGTTTGAGGGTTTGGGGCTTGAGGCGTAGGCTTTAGGGTGTAGGGTTTAGGGTTTAGGTTTTGGGGTTCAGGTTTTAGGGTATAGAGTTTGTTTAAGAGGGCTTTAGAGTTTAGGATTTTTAGCATTTGCGGTTTGGGGCAGCTTTTAGAGTTTAGGGTTTACGAGGGCGTTAGTACAGAGAGTTTAGGATTTACATGGGCCCCGTGGTGTAGGGGGTTTAAATGTAGGATTTGTTGAAGCTTTCACGGGGGAAGGAAAAGATCGAGACCACCTGAACCCCCAAGGTCTGTAAGTTCATGGCCCAAACCCCGAAAACCTAACATGAGCTATAGTCTAAACTTTTTAAAGGGGGAATACAACGTACCCAGGACTTCGAATCAGTCCTTTACCTCAAAGCTTTTCCCCTTCTCCTTGCCTAGCCTGCAATGCAATGCCGCTCGGGTCCCTAAGCCCGAAACCCTACCTAGAGCGACCAGTGCGCCCATGAAAAAAGAGGCTTTGTACCTAATAGCCTAGTATGTTTTCTTCTAGTTACGGGTCTAGGTTATTCGAAGTAAGCGCCAGACCTAAACATGGTCCAGTAGATACCTGGGCTTGACAGGCAAGGCACCAGGGAGCCGTCAGGTAGTGGGAAAAGTTTTCTGAGGATCAAGGTCCAGGCTCAAGGTTTAGGGTCTAAGGTTTAGGATTAGGTTTGTAGGCGGTGGGATCTGGGACGACCAAGCAGGTGTTTTGGCTGGATGATGACGTCACTGACATACGGCAAATGGATGCCGATGGCAAGAAAGTTGTCTTCCTTTCACCAGCTGGTTTTTGGACGTTGTTGCAACAATATCTGTGCCCAAGCCATAGCTGATGGAGCTTTCCTATGGGGCTTCAAGTTCAGGGAACTCCCCTACATCCTGGTGCGCAACACCAGTTTGAGAGCACCTGCCTTGGTGAGCGGTCCTGCTTCATCTTGAGCTGCGTATTTCAGCTCGCCACGGGGTTGCAAAAGACCTGGAGCGGATCTCCGCTGTCCAGCTTCATCAGTGCCACGTGGTGGTTTGCTTGATGGGCTACGGTATTTGCACCGCACGACATGGACGAAATCATGGCGTTTTGAACGCTGCTTTAACGCCAACGCGTTTGTCTTCAGGCTATTCTGTGGTTGCGAGGTAGCCTTCCATGTTGGAAGTGGACACGTGAAGACTCGGATCAGGGCCCAATCTTCCCCCCGAATACCACGTCTAAGGGTTTCAAGCCCCGAGGGTAATGTGCAATCAGGGGTTAGTTGCAGTACATTGGTTTTTCATTTTGTTTCGCCGGAAACGGGAATTTTGTGAACGATAGGAGACGCCTTACTTGGACATGAGCCAAAAATTTTCATTCTTTTCAAACCTTGTGCGGCAAAATATTTTCGGGACGAAGCAGGGAGCTAATGATCAGCCGCAGGACACTCGTGATCAACTATGTGGACTTGCACCGACCCACAGGATCTTCCTGCGACGAAGGTCGCGGGTGGGGTGTCTTAGGTTTCAGGAGTTTGTTGTAGCTTAGGGTTTACGGCAACTTCAAGATATGGGGTTTACAGCTAAATTTCTGATGGTACAAATGATATCCACATTGTGTTCTAAAGTCTATAACTAGTAGGTACATAAAGTCCTAAAACCCGAAACCGGCCCTCAATCCCAAGACCCGAATGACCCTAAAACCCTAGATCCTAAAGCCTTCAAACCCTAAACCCTAAGCCCCATGTATATATGTGTATATATGAATCCTAAATTCCGTAAACTCTGAACATTCCAGCCGCCAGGGCGAACGGCGGCAAGGCGTTGGACTCCTCGAAGAGCGCCAGAGATCTGCCAACGCGCCGAAGATGAGCTGCGGTCAGGGCGGTTTGGGGTTGTAGGGTTTAGATTCTAGGGCCCTAGGGTTTAGAGTTTTAGGGTGTAGGGATTTTGGCTGTGAATGTTATTGGTTTTAAGATTTAGGGTTCTAGTGTTAGTTTAGGGTTTAGGATTTCTGGTTTGGGATTTTGGGGTTTACGGTTCAACGGCCATTTCCACAATCTTCAACCTCTCAGTACTAGTTTATAGACATAAGGGGCCCGTCTGAGAACACAAATGGCCGGCATGGGTGCTAGTTACAGATTTTGGGGTCAATTAGCCTTCTCCCTCTAAACTCGAGTCTATACGTCTAGGCCTTTCTTAAACCTTGAATGAGCCCTATTCATCGCAAAAAAACACACGCCAAGCGAGGGGCGCCCTCGGACACTGCCCCGCAGAAAAAGGCGTGTGCACTTACTGCTGCTGATCCAAGGCTTGGGCACTGATGCGTCATTCCTTCGGATGGGAATGGTAGGGTGATCATCCCAACATACATCCCCATACATTGGTGTCCATGTAAGCGGGTTCTCCCAAAAGGCCCCTCCCCATTGTAAACCATGTCTTGAGAACACCAAAATTTAAGTGGTTTTCACACTTGTTTTTCCTGTAGGAGAGGATTGAAAATTGTTTGGGAAGGTCATGACTGCAAGTGGCACAAAACATCCAGATTACTTCTGTAGACCCAGAGTCCATGCAACAACGAGACAGTTTATGATGTGAGGGGCACCCTGAACCTTAAACCTTAATCCCTCAAGCGCCAGCGGTGCACCCTAAACCGCGCGCATGGGCGTCTTGCAGTGGTCGGCGTACGTATGTCAGAGCCAAAGCTAGGTACTCACCATGTTATCCCCTTCCTGGATTGCTGTTAAGGAACTTTTAAATCAAAATACCATGATATAGAAATAGGGCTCAGGGTTTTGGGTTTAGGGTGTATATACAATAAATAACAGGGTCTCTTTACACAAGTGTTAGATGTTAGATTTTGGCTCCTTCGCGGCAACCCAGTTTTCATGACTGCATCCGAGATTCCTTACGTTGGTTTGATATTCAGTATGCTTTCATGTAGTCTTTCAACAGTCTCTACTGCCCCAAGCAGAAGGAATTGCTGCACGGTAGGGAACCTGGGCTACGCAAGATTTCTTCCTCAACATATGCGAGCTTCCAACACATGCGGGTCCTTTTTTTACAACCAATATTACATGATTGAGTTTCGTTGGGCGGGAAACCCTCAAAATGGTAGCCTCTTCTGTCTCCCTCAATCAGTAAATCACGGTAAGCCCTCACCCCTAGACCAACCCTAAACCAGAGCCTTGTGAAAGGGACCCCACTTTTTATCATTGGGTGCTGAGGCCATGATAGCTGGCGCCCCAACTCTTCCGCAGGCTTGGGGTTTAGGGCTCTGGGGCTTTGGGGGTTGCACGTGGGGGCTGAGCGTTCAGGGTGTAGGGCTTAGGGTTTCAGGTCTTAAGGGTTCAGGGTTTGGGAGTTTCGGGTTTCTATGGCGTAGGATTTAGGGTCTCAGGCTTCAAGATCTAGGATCTAGGGCTCGGGGTTTCGGCTCTTGGGTTTAAGGACAAGACTTACGTGACAATCTTGGATTAAAATAGGTACTTTGCGTGCCCGCGGTTCCAGCCAGTTATAGCCCTACGTAGAACTCCGCGTCAAGGTTTGCAGAAGTCTGAGTACTTGAGTTTGGGGTTTAGGGTTTGCCATCTATTAATCTCCAAGATCCGGACACCCCAAACTCCAAACCGTTGCATCCTTAATCCCCTAACCGCAAGCCCTGACCCCTAAATCCTAATGAGCCCAGTGCAAGCGGGCGCTGTATGACAACTACGTGTAAGATATAAAGTGATGCAGGAGGCGTGGCACCACTTGGGGTATGTTGCAACTGCTACTGCGGATAGAGGAAATCCTGCACCACTCTATATGGTAGATTCCACAACCAAAAAAACCCCAATATAGACCCCAAACTACTATAATCCCTATTCTGGGGACCCCCAAAAAGCACCCCTAAGTTGGGGAAACCTTCAT